GGGCTGCATGAGGGATGCTCCATACCTGGGATGTATCCTCTGACGAATTACTTTATATTACTAGGCCTTGGTCTTCTCATTCTTAAGTGGGGAGAGTAATAGTACTTAGCTCACTGGGAGAGGAGATAATGCATGGAAAATGCTCAGGACTGTGCACACCACATAGGGCCCTTCATGCCAGCTAGCACTGGTTACATGTCAGTGCCTGCCGCCGGAATGTGGGCTCCCTGAACACTGGGACTGTCTTTTGCATCGTGGTGTCCCCAGGTCTCTCACAGGCCCTGGACAGAGCGGCTGTGCAAAACCGTTCCACTGAGCGGAGGAAATCCAATGTGCCTTGCTGTCAGCTGGTCCCCCACGGTAGAGCTCTCAGCTTCAGAGCAATAAGGTCCTTAGATACATCTGATACAATCCCTTCTTTCATGAATAAGGAAACTGAGGCCCAGGGAATTGGAAACAGCCACCACTTCTCCTCTTGAGAGCTACCCCATGGTGAGGCTAGACCCTGAGCCTTGGGTACAGGGGATCCACTGGGGAAGGGGCTGCTGCCCAGGAGAACATGGCTTCCACCCAGGGAGCCATGGCACTACTGAAAACAGTTCCATGGCCCCTGGTTGGACAGCACAGAGAGGAACGTATATAATACGGGCATCTGAGATGGGCTCCAGTGGGCTGTTCTTCAACGCTGGCAGGGAACAGCATACATCTCTCTAGAGAGCCTGAATGCATTTGGAAATCACTCCTGTGCCCTCTATATCCTTGCCACAGCCACTTTCCTAAAGGGCCCCCCAAGCGGATCTGTGTGTCCCCCAAGGTTGCAGCCCTGAGGATCACTGTGAGGTGAAGTGAGCGAGGGCGGAGGGAGCAGAGAACAAAGGGGGCTGTGCAGGAGGACCTGCCCACTGTGTGATATGGGGAGGACGCTGAGGGCAGGGACACAGGGAGGGCTGGCGTGGGCCTCGCTCATTCATTCATTTGTTCGCTCTTTCTTTTACTCATGTATTCCTCCAATAGCGAGCGTTTCCTAGGTACCAGGGACTGTGCTGGGTATAGGAAAACAATGGTTGGCAAGGGCAGGGCAGCACCTAGTGCGCAGCCCTAGAGAATGTTTGCTCCTCTCACAGACTATGAAGTGATAGCACATCTGGAGGTGTTCTGTGCACAATGTGCTCAACTCTGTGATAGCCCTGAGAAAGACAGTCCTTGCCCCAGAGTGGGAAAGCTACTGGGCAGCACAGAGCCAGCAGCGGGGCACTCGGTAAAAGCGCACAACCCGGCTCAGGGGCAGCTGGGCTGAGGCCTGAAGTGTGAGGAGAGATCATCCACGCAAAGGTGACTGGGGAACAGGTCGGGGGTATTCCCAGTAGAGGAAATAAAATATGGGAAGGCCCAGAGGCAAAGGATGGAATGGAGAGTCAGGCATAGGCGAATAGGAATGGCTGGAACCCCGAGTGGGCCAGGACGTGGGTGACAGAAGAGCCCAGAGAGGGGTTTGTCCTACGCATATGAGGGGACATGGAAGGTTTGCACGCGGGGGAGTGGCTTAATCAGATGTGCTCTTTGCAAGGGGGGCCCAGCTGTCCTGTGGAGATTAAGCGGGGAGAGGCACAGCTGGAAGCTGGCAGATCTGTGGGGGTGTGCCCAGGGGTGCAGGCCAGAGATGAGGGTGGGCTGGCCTAGCGTGGGGGCGGGACCAGGAGAGAGAAGGCTGTGGAAATAGTTAAGAGGTAGCATCAGTGGGGTATGGGGATGGCGCAGATGCAGGGGAGGGAGAGGAACCACAGAAAATGACTGGCTGATGGAGCAGGACTGGCAGGTTGGTGGACTGGGGAAATGATGATTGTCCAAGATTCCTTTCAGCCCAAACACTACAGGATTTGTGTAACTGGAAGAGACTGCAGGATCAGAATACTAAATCCTACATCTCAAAGAAAGCTAGAGTCAGGTCCTAGCTCAAGGCTTCCTGCTCATCCCCATCCCCCTTCAGGTCACTGAGTTATTATTTTCTCCTTTCCCTCTTTCCAGCATCTTCTTCATGCAGACACTGGGTCCAGCGCTGGGAATTTAAATCAAGTGCCCTGCCTTCAAGAAGGAGCCAAGTAAACAGTAAACAATGATGTAGGACTGAACAGCTATGACAGGGAAGGCTTGGGCTACAGAATCGTCGAGAAGGGGTATCCAGAGCAATGTTGGGAGATCAGAAAAGGCTGCTCAGGGGAGGAAGGAGTGCTGACAGTGTGTTCCCAAAGCAAGAGAAGGAGTGACGGAGACCAAGTGCAGGAGCGTGGAGGGAGTCGAAACATCAGTAGTGAAGGCAAAGGGAACAGCATGTACAAAGCCCACAAAGAAGTCTGAGGCAACGAGGCCCAGGGAAGTTAAGCAACTTGCCCAAGGTCACACAGTCCATTTGCAGAAGAGAGAGGAGAAGAGCGCAGTGTCTAGTAAATGTGTGTCGTGTTTTTAATCACTTTGTTCTAGCCCCTCAGTCCCATTTGCCCCTTCCTCCTACCCCCAGTATATACTTGGCCCAGAGAAATACTTGAGCCAGGGAAGTGAGCTCTTTCCCAGGGGCTGGCTCCACCTAGTGTGAGGACCCCGTCACCTCTACTAATCCTCACCTTTTCTGTCCCACTCCTAGTGGTCTGACATGCAAACCCATCTATTAGAAATATGTCTGGTATAAAAAAAGGTCCATGGTACTAATCAGCAGCCTGACAGCTCTCCATATCCCACCTAGTCATCAGAATTAAAGTTTTTCTCCTGCCCCAGCCAAAGTCTGTGTCTTCTGGCTGTTATTAACTGGATACTCCTTAAATTGAACTGTAGTATCTTTGAGAGGCAAGTAAGGACCATGCTTTTTTTTCTTTTCATACCCTTCTCCCTTGTTGCTTTGAACATTATAGTTACTCAAAAATATTCACTCAGTGAGCTCTTACTATGTCCAAGACACTCCGCTAGATGCTAGGGGAAGGGTAAAAAGATGAGTAAGAGATGGTCTCTGTCCCCAAGGAGCAGAGTCATGGGGAACTGAGAGGACTCTTATATGGGCCCACTGGCCATGCATGGGCATTCCCAGGAACACAGGACTCACTATCTGCCAAGTTAGACATGCTTTGTATGTAACAGCTCTAAATGTTAATCAAGCTAAAATCTTCCTCTCCTATAGCTTGCATACAGTAATATCACTATTTTGCCTGGAATGATAGAAAATATGTCTAATGCATTTATCACCTGCCAGCGCTTACACATTTGAAGTTTGTTTTCATGTCTACAGCTTCTCCATATGACTCCATCCAATCCTATTTTCCTTCTTAGGAGAACCTCAGGATTCTCATTTCCCCTGTAAGTGAAGCCCCCAGAACCAAGCACAGACTCCAGACAGGCCTTGACCGGTAGCCCATGCGGGGCTCTGGCCGGATGTTCTTTTATTCTGGGGCCTTGCCCCGCCTTCTGTGATGGCTGCTGTGCTCACTTCCCTGCTGCTTCCCCAGCTGTTGATTCATCTTCAGCTTAGAGCGAGCTGAGGCCCTAAGGCCTTTCTCCCAGGACCGAGCCCACCCATCCTTCACTAGTGCTATGGGTGTTTCCAAGCAAGGAGCAGAACTTAAGATTTTTCCCTATTTCACTGGATTTATTTCATCTAAACCATCTTTCTGTCATGATGAGATGTTTTTAAAATCTCGGATTCTATCATCAAGGTACTAGTTGTCCCCTATTAGCTCTGTCATCGGAAAGTAGTGCCTCTTTAAAAATGATTGAACTAGACAAGACCAAGGACAGTGCTCCACTCACACTGGAAATGGCACTGATGGAAAAATAAACGTTTTTGAGAATTCTGTTTGAGAACAATCCACCTGACTATATTGTGATCTAACCTGCTTTCTATCATGTCTACATAGATATCATAAGAGATTTTGTCAACTACTTTATGAGAGCCAGATGCGCCAAACTACCGCTGGCCCCGATCCAGGATAATAGCTTGGCATAGATGCCAAAAGAAAGAAATTAGTTTTGATTTGGCTTGACTCAGTCTTTGTAACCTTTCTATTGGCTTCCATCCCCAGGACTCACCTTGTCCACTGGGTTAAAGATTGGTTCATTAGAATCTACTCGTTTCAGAGCAGAAAGCACCTCAGAGATGATTCAAGGTCTGATTCCCAATTTTGCTGACAAGAAACCAATGTCCAGAGTGCTTAACTGGCTTTCCTGAAGTCACAGAGTTAACTAGAGCAAGAACAAGAATTGGATGCCCTGACTATGACTCTATTCAATGCTCTTTCTTAACAACATGAAGTCATAATGTCTTTTTCTAAGCACACGCGCACATGCACACACACTTACAGATCTTCCTTCAGGTCCCTTAATTGTCCATCAAGAAAAACTGTGTCATTATCATTGGGGGGAGCCTAGTGGGGAACCCCATGACTGATCATTTTCTCCTCCTTCTTCACAGAATAGAAGATAAGACCTAAAACCCCTCAATGGGACTTGTTCTCCAAAAGGGGAGCTTTGGACTTCCCCCAATCTGGGTTAACCTTGGGCATCTTCAGTCTACTAAGAGACCACTGTCTTCAAAGCTCGTTTGAGCCTGCGTGTGCCCAGGCATGGGACTTGCCCCTTGAGTGAGTATGTAAGCTGGGCTATCTCTTCTAAGTAGCAAGTGTAGGTGGGACTTCCCCAAAGAACAATGGGCCACTTGCCTAGTGCTTTGCAGGGCATTTAGGCTTCCTCCACGTGGTGAGAGGAGCACAGCCCTGGGCAAACTGCCTAGGGCCTGGCATTGCAAGGGTGTGACCCTTCCGTGTAGAGGCTGGTTGCATCGGGGCTTGGGCTGTGGGGAAGGGCAGATTACTTAGTTCAATTTGAGAGAACCGGTGGCAAAAGAGTTGCAGCTACAGCAGAGGTGGGCCCAGCTGGGGAAGATCCCTGGTACCCTGGACAGTTCCCAAAGGTAAGGCCCCTTCACCACCCTTCCCACCCCCCTTGGAGGCCCTGGGTACCTGTTTATTCTTTAAGTCAAGGGAGAGTTCGTAATCTGAGGCAGCAGGGGCGTGGGAGCAGAGTGCTGTCGCCAGGGCAGGCTGCTGCAGGCCAGGGGAGGCCGTGAGGTGGGGGCCAGCCCTCGGGGAGGCACCCCTTGCCCCTGACCGCTCCTCCTCCTCCTGCAGCTCCTGGGCTTGAGCCTTCGGGGCATGGGCACTGGGTCTGCCGGCTGCCACCACCGCCGCTGCCACCACGGAGTCCTCCATGCCCCCACTGGCCTGGGCGCAGGAGCCGTCACTGTGAACAAAAGGCAACGGTGCTCGGTGCTTGGTTCGGGGAGAGAGGGACAAGGTGCATGTGGGTGTGGGGGTGGGGGAGAAACTGGGCACTTTGGCAGCCATGGGCCCTTCTAGTGGCGGGGGCTGGTGGAGTGTCTCTGCAGCCCTGTCTAGGGAGGAGCTAACTCCCTAGCTCCAGGCAAGGAGGAGGATGTAAACTTGGGGAGGGTATCCCACACAGAGGGAAGAAGTAGCTACAGCCAAAGCTCATGGACCTCTGCTTAGAAGCAGCAGAGCAGAGTGGTTAAGAGTAGATTGCCTGGGTTAAAAAGTGGACTCTGCCTCTTATTAGCTGGGGGACTCTTAGCAGATTACTTAACCTCACTGTACCTGTTTCTCCATCTGTAAAATGGGCATGATAATAGCATCTACCTCATAGAGATGTTGGAAGGCTTAGTTAGCTAAAATTCCTAAAACAGTGTCTGGTTCAAGGTAATTGCTACGTATAAGTGTTAATGATCATAATTATCAGTGGGCTAGCTCTCTGGCCATTGGCTTAGGTAGCTGCGGGGAAGCAATGCACACTGAACCAGCTCCATTTTTTTTGCTCCAAAAGAGTCTGAGGAACGGAATGATGCTTATAGGCCTGGCTTGGGCATGAAGCTCCGCCAGGGCAGGTGGACAGCAGCTCTTTTGGCCTGTGTCTATGAAGAAGAAGGTCCTTGCCCTACTTGTTTGGGAAGCATCTGTTCTTCCCTGGCCCCTCCTCTTCTCCTATGAAGCCACCAGCAGCCTGAGCTGTAGCTGCTGCTGACCTGCCCACTATAAGACACCTGATCGACCACTACACCCCAGCCTGCCCCCAGGCATTAGTACACTTAGGTTGCTCCCTTCCCCAGTCAGCCTCCAAGTTCTGCTCTTCCCTCAAGGCCCAGTGCTACCCCACCTCTCCCAGGAAGCCTCCCCAGGTGACTCCAACTTCCCCTGCTCTATCTGCAGGAGTACTAGGAGCTGCACTTAGAGCTCCTGTCACTGTCTATTTCACAGAGAAGGAGAAACACCATTGCTCACAGTATGGGTTCCAATCCAAGCTCTACCACTGTGTGGCTTTGGTCAAGTTGCTTTTCCTCTGAGCCCTGGGTTTCTCATCTTTAAAATGGAGGTACTAGTACCTACTTTGCTGGGTTATAGTGGAGGGGGTAAAGGAGTCAGTGCAGGTAAGGTGTTTAGCACAGTGCCTGGCAGAGGAAGTTTTCAATGAACATTAACTCTCTACCCCTATCTGTTCTCTCCCAGAGGCCAGGGCCTATATTCAGTTTGATTCCTTCTCCCATTAAATATTTGCTGATGATCAAATTGAAGAGAAGCCACGGGCCAGAGGATGGCCTCTGCAGTGGACAATGAGAGCCAGTCAGGACTAAAAGGGACCCTGAAATCACCTAGTTCAGAATTCCAATCTCCCTTTCTTACAGATGAGGAGAAGGGGCCCAGGGGGGCGGGCTGACCCTCGTCAGAGAGCTAGGCAACCTCAGGACTTCCTTATTTCTTCCAAGGCTTTGCTTCCATGTAAGATGCCCCAAATCATACCAGAGAGGGGACCTCTTTCTCTTGCTTCCACCTAACTTTGGAGCCTCCTGGTGCTAGAATAACCAAGGGCAGGGTGAAGAACCCTCTTTTCACTAAACCTCCATCTGTCCTCTCAGCATTCTGCTGCCCCCTCCATGATAAAGGAGAGCCCGTTGGCCTTCTCTGGAACCAGGAGCCTCAAACTCCCTAAGGCACCCCCTCCTTGCTACTGTGCATTCCTTTTCTCTGACACCCTGTCATTTCTGTGTGACCACCAGTGAAGCTACATAGTTGGATGAGTTCTAAATATCTGACACTTTTTTTTTTTAACTAGTATCACCAGGAGGTTCTTTTAAAGCTCTAAGTTCAACTCCTCTTGCTAAAGTATATGCCTGTCCTTCCTGCAGGGCAGCTGGAAACGGCCCTTTCCGTCTGCGAGCACAGCCGGCCTCCGGGCCCCGGAGGGCAGCATCCAGTGTCATCCGTCTTCTCTACGATCATCCATCTCCTTTACAACTGTCCTTGGTACTGATGCCCAAGGACATCACCTCCAAACATTTCACCCCAAAAGTTTTCAAGACTCTTTAGAGAACTGGTGGCGACTCAGGGCTACAGACACCTTTAAAAAAAAGCCCTTTGTTTTCTTTGATTGTGGGAGTGTACCTTGGCAAGAGGTTCTGACTGGCTAGAGCAGAAACAATAGAAGCTGATAGGTAAATATACCTGCTTCCTCCTCCCAAGGGCAAAACAACGCACACTGCACTCCATTTCCCCGGAGTGCCCAGTGCACTGCAGTACCAGTCGGCCAACGCAGGACCTGAGCATTAAAGAACCTGTGCGGGCTTCCTTCTTCTCTGTGTTTCATTCCTAACTCCTCTATTGACCCTTCCTAGAGTTACCTTGTCCCAAATAAACTATTTGTGTTAAAACAAAACAAAATTTTAAAATAGCCTATTTCTTGGGCCACCCTTCTGCATATAGACAAAGGCTCCAAGGCCTTCTCACCTGAACTCATTCACAGGTCCTCGGAGTTAGGCTGCCCCCACTGCTGTCTCAAGCCTGTGCGCTTGTGCACACACAACACATCTAAATAGCTGTCAGGCTCTGAGTAATGCATGTCCTCCTCCTCCTGGGTCAGTTTCCTCACCAGTCACATGAGAGGAGCTTACTGGTCACTCAGGATCCTTCCAGCTCAGACATTCTGAGAAGCTGGATTCCAGTCCAATGAGACCCACCAACTCCAAGGTTCCAGGCTCTCTGGCTGGTGGAACCAACTCCACTTTTGCCCACCTATGTGCACAAGGACCTGAGAGACTGTGGCTCTCCCCAATATATGGTTAAAATGGAGAAACGGGGTCCTTCCTTAGACCTCTCCACAGACCTGTGTGATAGAAGGTGACTATGAAAACCCAGGACTGATGTCATCTATATGGCAAAATTTAAGGTCATATAATGGAGGGCAAAGAACATGGGTTTTGGTTCCAGGAAGACCTGAGGTAAAACACTGATCTCCTATGTCCTATGTAGCCTTGAGCAAGTTACCTAACCTCCTCAGCTACGAAATGGGCACCCTGATAACTCTTTGGCGATGCTGCTGTGAGAAATAAATACAGATTGCAAGGTACCTAGTACAGTGCCTGACACACAGTAGTCCTTGGTAAGTTGATGGCCGTGGTGGCTGTATTCTGCGCTGGACCCTACAGCATGGGGTCTCAAAGGAATCCCCAGAAAAAAAGCATGGAGAATTCTTAAGTGGAAAGCATCCTCAACATTTAGTCTTCCTGTCAACCTTCATGAAACAGAAAAAACAGTGTTTTTTCCTCCATACCTTCTGGCCTTTCCCAGCCCTCCAGACTAACCCCCAGGATGTTTAGGGAAAAGGCCGAAATTGGACTGGCTTCCCTGAGGCTTCCTTCCACCCCTGTTCTCAAATCATGGAAGCAACACTACAGTGAAGGGCCTTGCTCTGGGATGTTACTAAGTCATACGATCCACGGCTTCTAAGGAATCTGTGTGCATTCACCACCTACAGGCAATCCCTTTAACTGTAGTCACCACAGTGTGGGCATCCCCTAGGCCTGCATTTGTCCCGTGCCCATTGTGTGGATTTGCGTTTTGGTCAATTTGTCAGGGAGCCATGGGGACCTGAGTGTCCAGAACCTCTGTTTAAAGACTGAGCATCAACAGAATGTTCCCAGCCTCTGTTTCCGTCTCTGTACTCCACCTCTAACAAAGGCCCAAGGAAAGAGGTTTGACTCTTCATCCTAGGCTGTCAGAGCTGGAAGGACCACCTCCTTCAATCCACAGTCTGTTATGGAATTGGAAGCCCGTTGTTCCAGCGCCTGGTGCATTATTCCTCCCAAGACATGGTCTTTAAGGTTTCCCTTAGGTTTTCGGAGTTGGCTGGGCTGACCTCATACCCTGAAGCTGCGGCCCCTAGTGGATCAGATTTCAGGCAGCCTGGTACTTGGACAGGAACCATGTGGAATTCACTCTGTGGCCTGCATAGCTTCTTGTAAGCCCCTCCTTTGCGCTCCTGGATGGGGATCCTGGTGACCTTAGCTGTCTTAGGCTCCATATCCAGCTGCAGAAACAGAACCCTTGAATGGCAGTTCACTAGCCTGGAGAAACTCAAGGTCACTGCAGACGTATGGGAGACACTAGTCACAAGAGGCTGCCCTTGGCTGGGGCATCCACTTGAGAAGGTAAACAGTAGAATGTGAGTGGCACCAAAATGAGTGAGCTTCAGCTGTGCCCACATGATATCAGGCTGACACATATTCAGGGGCCCGGGCCATCCAAGGCACTTATTCCACATGCGAGAACACAGGATTTGAGTATGGGAAGTGAAAGTCTTTCAGAAATTGAGGGAATGAGAGTTGCTCAGAGGAATATTACACGTGCCCAGGATGTGAATGACCGGTATGCTGGAGCTGAACATCACATCAGGGAGGGCCACTGGTGTGGAAAGCCAGCTTGTGCTGAGATGTATGCTGGGTGCCCGCTGGGCATGCTTGCCTTGGTGCATATGTGACTCCCCTGGAATTCCAGTGACTATCCAGCTTATCTACCGCCCCTGCTATCAGAGCTGACTTCTTAAAATGCAGACACTTCAAGGCCGACTCTCTGTTCAAACCCCACCAGTGACTTTCCAATACTGCTGGGATAAAGTCCACCAGCGTGGCACTCAAGAGTATTCATGATCTCACCCCAATCTCCCTTTCCAGCCTCATCTCACTAAGTGGACTGTCCACACCGAAACGCTCCCCAGACCTGCCAAGCCCTCTCGGACCACTAAGCCTCTTACATGACTTCCTTCTGCCTGAAATGCCTTCTCCTCTCCATGACCCTACCCTACCACCCACTCTTTCTCTGACTTGTCAACTCTTTCAAGATTCACTCATTGCTCTCAAGAAGCGTCAGTCCACCCACTCCTGCAATGAGATCTAACAA